CACTGAATTACATGAGACAGATGTATGGCACGACGTTGTGATTTCGTTGCGCGAACAACACCACCAGTACTAGTGCTAGATCTAGCCCTAAAACTACTCCAGGATCCTAACTATCAGACACATCATATTCTGAGACACTAGAACTAGTAAAACGTACAGAAGTATCGAAAACGGCAAAATTATGTGATTCTTGTTCATGTGACTTAGACAACTTTAGTTTTTTGTGTTAGATTAAGCTTGAATGTTACTTTACTGTATAAAAAAAAAAATTGCAATAGGGTAGTTCTGAGAGTTGTGGTGATTTATTGAAATACTCCGAAAAACACCAGTCTTCAACGCTTGTGACTGGTGAAAGGGCCCAGTAGTAAGTGAGTTAAACATCTGAACATAGTCTAATACAAATGTCATCAAGCACATTACCTCGAGATATCGTAGAAATGTTCCACAAACGGCGTGGTAAGCCAACTTACGTGCTTTGTGCCAGGTCCCACACTTCCACGGCGCCTTCGTTCACACAGGCAAACACAGTGGAAGACCATGGAGACCAGCAGATATCGTTGACAGCTTTCTAAAAAAACATACAAAGAAACAAAGTTTGAAGAACAGAACCACATTGTCACAATCCTCCAACAAAACACCAGAAGGTAAAAGTAAAAGTAAAGTACATTAGTTTAACCCTTTATCTCCCTTGGGGGGAAACCCTCGGGGCCCCTTCTTTGGAACTAAATCTAAAAAATACAAAAACATCAGTAAATGGGTCATTAAATTAAAACAAGAGAACCTATTTTGATAGTTCTTCATCTAATGAATGAACTCCCGATAAAGACCAGTTTACGGCAACTGCAGGAAAGTAATTTGATGTCACAGTCATCGTAAAGGAATGTGCCCGAGCCGCTGTCAGCGACTCACCGACACAGGGGTTCTGACCGCGAGCCGCTGGGAGCGACTTGTCTAAGATAAAGAGTTAATCCCAGGTCATATCTGCGTGTCCCAGCAGTCAGGCTCCAGCCTCACGCAGCTATTTCCTGTCCCTGCAACCCCAGTGTGACCCGTGATATTGCGCACTTGGTCAAGTACGTCCACATAGGAGGCCATACTTTACTAGAACCTATCCAGAGTAAAGTTCATTCAAAGTTTCCTCATTTGCTTCAAAAGTGCACTTTGAATGGGCCAACGAACTGTACTATACAGTATAGTATAATACAGTAAATACTGCACTGCTCAGAGTTTTTTTATGCTTCAACAAATAATGTAAAAATCTCTTCTATTGGTCACCAATGTGGAGACTTCTACTTCTAAAGTACCTTTATGATCTTGAGAAAGATACTTCATCAAACCTTGCTAAAAAAATACCAACTTTTTGCAGAAACAAACAAACCTGTTTATATCATATATAAAGCAGAGTTAGGAGTAGTTTTTTAATTTTTAGTGTTTTACGGCACTTGCAACACAACAAGGTCATATACGTTCTGAAGATTAGAGGTGTTACAAGAGAGTAACAAACACAAAAAAGAAGGAGGGGAGATAAGGATGAAAGACCTCATCAGAGCACCCACCAACCACCTGAAGCACAGACAGAGAGACAAAACGCATCTCATCTAGTGGGTGGTTGGCGGGTGCTCTGGTGTGGTTTACTTCTTCTTTCTTATCAAACATCTATCGTCTTTATCTCCCCTCCTTCTTTTTTGTGTTTGTTACTCTCTTGTAACACCTCTAATCTTTGGCACTTCTATGACCTTATTGTGTTACAAGTGCCGTAAAACTCTTACTAAAAAAACCCCCCAACCATCTGGCCTTACCGTGCACGAGTGGAAGGAGAGGATGGGTTTGGTCTTGTCCTGATGCCACAGCTTGATGGTCCAGTCGGCACTGCAGCTCAGGAAGATGTCCGGCACAAAGGGAGACCACTGGATACTGTACACCGGGCCCTGGCCATGACACAGTTACGAGATACATACAGAAATCCTCTTGTAGGAAGTAGATCTACAGGAAGTAGACCACACCTGTCCCCATGGTTTTATGCACCCCGCTTAATTTAGCAAAATTTGATCATTTTTTTGGCATAATTTCTGATTATTCTCCTTTATCATTCTTTGTTAAAATTAACAGAATCGCATAATTTTCTATTATTGGGCTCAGTTTGCATAATTTCAGAACTTTTCTTGCATAAAATGACGGGGACAGGACCACACCACACTGCCCACCTGCCAAAAACAATTAAAAAGTATACAGTGGAGTCCCCTTAAACTTAAACCGAAATCCACAGGGACGTTGGATTTTCTTCAGTTTATCAGTGCTTCCAGTTTAGAGAGATTGCTCAAATAACGAAGAAAAAAACTGGGGATTCTATTATCTTTCCGTTTGCCACTTTTTAAGCATAAACTGTGTTCAGTTTGAGAGGACTCCACTGTCTATATATAAATATAATTTACATACATATGCACTAATGCTTTAGATCAAATAAACGATACAGGCCTACTACTCATTCATCAAGTGAAACAGTTACACAGATGGGATGCGGCTAGCGATGATTTGCACCACAAATATGCCTTAACACCATGGGGACCGGCCCCACACCAGCTGATCCTACCCCCACGACCGGAGCAGCCACCCACATCCCTTGTAATATGTACTCTTTTCCAAGACAGTTTTTCCCTTCTGATCAACTCAAACTGGTTTCAGTTTCAACTTTGATGAATTCGAAAGGGAAAGAACTCTTCTGTGCTTGAACAAGAAGTCGGAAAACATGGATCATTTTGAATAAACCTGGACTGGCTTGAATAAGTGGTATTGCCATTGCGTAAATTACATTGATGGTCTGATTCGGTCGGGTGCAGTTCGCGTATAAGTAAGTCAGTGGTCCCAAAGGTGTTAATAATATGATCTTACTGTATACAATTTCATACATAATGTATTATTCATAGAAAAGTACGACTGAACTCAAATTTATAGCACTTATTTTTTCTCAGATGAAACGGGGGTTGTTAACACAGCAAATTTCTGTTTAAGGCTACCATAAAATTTTAGAGCAAGGTTACCTAAACAATGTTTGCAAAAATGTTAATCAAAACAAGTCTTTTCATGCAATGTTTCTTTCTCCACATACAACTGCAATTTTGGAAAAAAAGTCATCAACCAAACAGTACGAAGACCTTTTTTCCTGCTTAATGTATTCCCAGTTTTTCACAACACAACTCTTTTTTCCCCACTTGTCTTCAATTCCATCCTCGCATGGACCACGCATACCATTAGGCAATGGCACAAGTATGGCTGTAGGTATTCATTCATCTTACATTACAACAACAGAGTTGTTTGTCAAATACAAACCCCCCCC